ACCGCCATTAAAAGAGCCTTCAACATGTCATGAAATGGGTGTCTCAAACTAGGGCACATCTACAACCTAAAACATTGGCCTACCTTCAAATCCCAATCAAAAACGGGGCCCATGTTGAGTATAACCATCATTTTGCCCATGCCAACATTAAGTCAACCCACGCGAAAGATCGCATCGACGCGGTCTTTCTCCATTGGCCGCCCACTTTTTGAGTTGCACGTCGGTCTGGATCACACGCTTTGGGTGCGACGGCTGTGACTTTTGACGCTTAGCTTAAGAGTGCGAGAGTAAGATAACAGGGTGCGTGTAGCCGTGTAGCTACTTGGATAGCAGGGATAACCCCACTTGGGGAACTTACCAGTGGGTTACGATCTAACTAGGTTACCAACAACTTACTCACTTGACCGAATGCCAAGAAGGGACTTGTTTTGGACTTCCATACGGAAACCAAAAAAACCCAAAGGAAACCATTGCCATGCAAAGGCCCTGTGAGACTGCAAAACCAACACAGCCAGAACCGATTAACCCGGTGTGCTTGTAAAGGGTACCCTTTTTGGGGTGGTTTGGGGAACCCACCCATTTTTGGTGGTCGGTCGCCCATTTTAGAGACTCCCATTTTGGAATTGCAAACCCCTGGTAGAAACGGCGAACCCCTTTGTGGTGTCGACTGGGATCAGAGACTCCCGGCACAGAAGAGACCTTCGGACGCAGCGTTGGGGCCCAAATAAAGCAGAATCCTTGCCGATCCGAACCTTTTTGCGAAACCTTAAAACATGGACTCAACTGAGCCTTTGATTCCGGAGGGGTCCTTTGCTCCATGGCTTCGGTGGATTCCTTGTGCCCTTCGTGGGGCGGAGTGGTTTTTTTTTTTATTTTTCTCTTTTTGCGAGTCCTTGGTCGTTCCCAGGGCGCTGGGCTTATCGGACTTTCCATGTTGAGCCATGTTCATCCCGAACCTCGGGAGCCGCTCGTTCCCGCGGGAACGGAAGCCGCTGAAGCCGCTTGATACTCGCTTCGGATGAATCCAGACCGTTCTCACCGGCGGAGACTAGAAACCATGTCCAACCACCAAAGAGCCGGAACTAAATCGACAACTATCGCAAACACCGCGATTTTTTCTCACTGCCAAAAACAAAAACAAGAGTGGTCAACTTGCCCTCATCCCAAACACCAAGCCAAAAACCCTTGGATTCCGGGCTCTTGGCTTCAGCGACCCGAAGCTTGCGACTCGCTTCTCCCTCACGGCCGCGCGGGGCTGGTTCGCCGCGGCGAGCGGCTGCGGCTCTTGCTCCGGCCTCCGAAATGGGACCCCCGGCGTCTGCGCGCGGTTTTCGTGGAAGAACCCACAGGGGGGTCCCTTGAATTTTCTGGGGCTGCCTGGAATCCCCTGATTTTTTGGGGGGGTTAACTTAAAATCAAAAAAGAAACTCAAAAAGGAAGCACCTGAGATTGCCTCAAAATTGGAAAAGGCTGCCTCAAGGAAGAAGCGGCCCCGGGGATCGGTCCAAGGGCCCGGCTGCCGGACCTCGGCTCGCTGACCTTGATCTCCTCGCGTCAGGGCGCGTCAGGGCGCGCTGAGGAACTGAGGAGGGGCCTCGGGAGGTTTGCTTCGGGTTGCTGGGGGTTGCTGGGGTTGCTGGGGTTGCTGGGGTTGCTGGGGTTGGCGGGGTTGGCGGGGTTGGTATTGGGGGGGGGGGGGGGTGGTGGGGGGTTGGTGGGGTTGGTGCTGGGGTCGGGTTGGTCTTGGCCCTGGTTTTGGGGGTGCGCCAGTCTTCATGGCGATTTCTTGGCGCATTGGCGCATCCCTTAGGGGATGGTACATGCCTCCCCCCTGAAGCCACGGGGCAGATCCGGGCCCCCAAAACATGATACCTCGTGTTGGAAAACATATATCACATGCCAAGCCTCTGTTCCCGATTTCCCAGGTTTCCCGAAACCTCGAAACGGGCCCTTGGGGGCGCAGGAAAACTTCTTGTCTTGCTGGTTCTCAGCGCAAGATGAGGGAATGACAACAATACACCATCCCCTGGCGTCCTTTAAGGAAAACCCCCTTCCAGTTCATTTCCAACACCCTGGGCCCCCTCCTGAGCACCACCAAGTTGTAGCCCTTTCAAACCCAATTTGTCCGTCGTTTTCCGCGTGGCAAGAGTCACTGCCCCTTCAGCCACTCCAACTTGCTCAGCCGCGCACGTCGACGAAGCCGGTCATAAGCCGCTTGGATGCCTGCGCTCGCACATCCGCAGGCTGCTTGGCCGTGTTCAAACATGGGCCGTCCTTCAGATCCCCTGCTAAAAGTTCAACTTTCAGTGGGTTCAATGGACACCCCGCTAAACCCTAAAAAGCTAAAACGCTAAGGGGATAACTGGGGGCCACTGAGAAACATGGGCGAACCCTCTCGGCACACTCCCGGGACGAATGACTTCGCATGATGACATTCATATGGCTTCACGTCTTAGCAGGCACTTCTGGCAGTGCCTTGCGATGCACAGGGCACACGCTGCTGACACGTCGATCGATCCCGCTGTTTTGAACCTTGCTTCGGCGAAACTTGTTGGACAAACGAACCAGTGGGGATACGTAGGGAGTGGGGATACGTAGGGAGTGGGGATATGGGGGGATTCCCTTGGCGCCATTTCCCATATCAAACTTAGTCAAGGTGCATCAAACGGGGGAATCCTCCCGTATTCAACTGGTTCCCCCCGTATCCCTAGTTGGCTTCCGTGACGCTTGTGCAGCGCCGCCGTTGGGGGGGGGGACCCGCAAAAGGAGTCCCCCCTGCGCGGTGACACGGGGAGGCGGGCCTTGGGCCGCTTCGCCTCGCGGCAAGCCAATGGCTTGCAACGGCGCCAAACAAGTGCTGCGCAGCGGATATCCCGCGCTTCTTGAAGACAGCGGACAAGTTCTCATAGAGGCATGGATTGAGGTTGATGTTGACTTGCTCTCCTTTCAGATTGAGGGAACCCATGACATCTCTCACCTGACTGCTTGAGGTGCTGATTTCCATCCCAAATGACCAACTTGCTCCGCACCTGCTCGGCGCCGCAAATCAAGCGCTAACATCGTGCACCACTGAGGGTGTATCCCCAGGTTACACCCCATCTCACTGCCCTCTTGTCTTGCATCAGGCTACCGATGAGTATCAGGTTTGGACCGTTTTGGACCCATTGCAGGTACACCCTCAGAAGCACACGACAACAGTCCTTGAACAACATGCACCAAAAGATATGTCGTACAGGCCCTGCCGCACATCCACGGACCGCGGGGGCGCGGCGGGGCCAGCGGAAATCAGGCCTTGTGCCTGTTTGCCAAGCAGTCGCTTCTGTACTGCGCCGGGCGCGTCGCCTACTGCGCCATCGGGTCACAAGTACCCGTGCCCGGGAGAGGGGCTGTCTCCTGCACATGATCCGAGGCGTGCTGCTCTCATCACCTTGATGCCGTCCAATAACTCTGAGCCAGAACCGGGGGAGCCATTGGCCTCAATGGCCCGCGGTCTCCACAGTCATAAAGTATCATTCAGGCAATTCGGCTGCAATGGCTCCCCCTGCTATGGCTCTAACATCCGTGTGCGGTTGCGTGTGCGAGCGAATTCCTAGGTGCAATCTACATGGTTTTCAGCTGGGAAATGACCGAGGAGATCAAACTAAAGAAACAGCCTTCGCAATGATCGGCTATTCATTGAAAGTACCAACTGACCAAGTAATTGCTCGTTGGGTAACAGTTTGCATAATGATCGTGGGAAATAACATGTTCTGCAAAACCACGGTGTAGCATCCCCATAACTTCATCTCTTCAAACTTTGTAGAGAAGCTGGCTCTAAAAGCCTCCACAAGCTCGCGCAACAAGCGCGAGTCTTCAGTGACAGGAAAGCTACCCTTCCGAGGGCTCAGGTCAGTCCTGGCGACTCGCTGATGCTGAGTCTATTGTCCTGGGGCACTGGGAGCCCGGCACCAAAAGGAAACCATCAGCTACCCTTCGTTGGTGACTTGGATTGGGACGCATCCCCACCAAACCACCAAACCACCAATCCAAACCACCCTTTTCGAGGGAAGCTGAAACCAGTCAGACCAACCCTTTCTTCATAGGTGTCCTTTTTTGGGAAAATAGATGGCCCTGGTAGTTGATTGGACCACCAGGTAAACCACCTCTATTTTTCGACCAAATCAACCAAAAAGGACACCTATGTTCACCTTCTGTCTTCCGAAAGCCTGCAGCTAAATTTGTGCGAGCTTGCTTTGCCTTGCGAAATCCCTCGTCATGCTTAAACTAATTGTGAGAACACCCCCTTGTAAAGCTTTAGGTCAGACCCTCCTCAAAACTACCTCACAAACAATCCACTTGAGGGCTTTGCATTGGGTTACCCACCACCTATTCGGGCTGGTCATCCATGTTCTGCTCTCGGTGGCTCCTGGATCTTGTCTAGGATGTCTCGCAGTGATGGCCAGATCTGCCTCAGGCCCGCGCTCCCCCCCGTCCGAATTACCATAGCTTGCGAGTTGTTTACTTGCAGGATTTGGGAGTATGTGGTTTGAATTAGGGACCCTTTGATGGACATCATTTCTGTAGAACTCAATTCCAAAACCTGAAGCTAGGGATCTCCAAACCGACGAACATCATGAGCTTGTTTTAGTTATAGGTGAGCTTGCCGTAAAATGACAAGATCATGCCCCTCAAAAGTCACATCCACCAGCCAGCCATTGCGGTTTCGCATCAAACTTCATGGCCATGCAAGGAGGTTCCAACTCTAGCCCTCTCCAAACTTGGAACAGGACCCCTGGTCAAAACATTCGAGAATTTTGGGCTCCCGTACAGGTGGGCTTCACAGGGGGCCCTGCCCTTTAATCATGTTGCCCTTCAGGCTGCGCAAACACGCTTCCCCCTTCAAACATCACCCCGTGCCCAAAGAGGGACTCGATTGGCAAGCCCATTGCTTGAGCCCGTGTTCACGCAAAAAGACCCCGTCTCTGACTCCCATACCCTCCAACAAACAAGTGCGCAGTGCGCCCCCTTTCCAAAATGTCTCCCAAAAGATGTCGGGCGCTGTTTGTATATTTGCAGTGGTTGTTCGGCTGAATTCTGCACCATTGAACGGTTGACCCTAAGTCCTTTCGAGCTTCTCCTGAGGCCCAGTTGTGGCCTGACTTTTCTCGAAGTGGCATATCTCCAACTTGAATGATGCGACCGCCACTCGGGAGAAAATAAACCACATACACTTGTCTGCCAATGAGAAAATACGGATTACGCACACATGCTGTAACATAGCCGTAATTAGGCATTAAGATCTGGTTGAAAACAATCCTATTTCTCATCAAGCTCTATTCTCGGATGAAAAGTGCAAAAGTGACACAAATAGACTGCGCACAAGCACACGCTGTACCGTCAAAGAGTTTTGCTTAGAAGGCTGCACTAGGCCATGCCGGGATAGCTATATTTAATAACCATGCATCGGCCAACATATGCTGGTCAGGTACAATATCACATCTTAGCTTCAAATAATATGCGGTGAGCATGTTTGCCCTTTGAATAATAGCATAATCATTGGCAATGTTGGTATGCCAAGCATTGCTGACTTTGATAGTCATTAAGGTTGATTTTGGCACTACAACTCATGCAGCAGCAATGAAACATACATTGATTTGAGTATTGAATTTCAAGCTACTATTCATTCGGCAAAACTCTCAACATGTTTGTCCACCACATGTAAATACATTGAATAGCAGAAACTCCCAGAACCGCAAGCAACAAAAGATGTTTGAATACAACATGTGCATACACATGTTCAGTTGTCATTCATGCATCCCTTCAATGTATGTAATCCCCAAGAAACATGCCCCTTGAGCCAATTCACCAGTAGTTGCAGTGAGTTCGAGCATGTCCTTCTCCGAAAGTTTAGTTTAGAACTACATGATTACATGATATACTATGTCACTAATTCAGAACACATATCACAATCAAACTGATTGAATACTATAAGCAAGCCCAATACGCGTTAAAGACGCATCTGACGTGATCTGACCTGCTTTATCTTTTTCAAGTTTGCTGACACACATGAAGTGTACCTTTGCTTTGGGCATTGCAACATATAGAAGCCTGCCATTGCATAGGACCATGCAATAACTTAAGCATGTTAACAAACAATTGAACTAGTGAAGTACGCCTAACTGAAATGGTTGAATTTTCAAACATGGTGAATCTTTTGGCACTTCAAATGCAACCACAAAATGGCACGCAGTCCCTGCGCTCTCCCTTGATTGCCCTCCAATTACCCGGGTTTGATTGTGACCCACACGGGGAGACGGGGAGAAGAAGAAAACAATGACCAAAACAAAAAAAGGAGCCCAACAAAAACAAACACACACACACACACACACTTGGAGCCGCCGCGGCCGAAGCTTCGGACATCGATCAAAGGTCTGAGGCAGAGGACCCCTCTCCGGCGCAGAGGCCGCAGAGCCCGGTGCCCAGCTGGCTGGAGGCCTGGCCTCGGAATCGATCAACGTGTCCCCGGGGGTTGGGATTCGGAGGGCGGTACCCCAACCCCCCATTAAAAGGACGGGCCTATGAATCTGGGGACTTTCTACTTCAAGGCTGGGCTTTTTGTCTGGAAAGAAACTGTCTGAGTTGGCTGACGTCACTTGACATCATGACCCTAAAAGAAAGTGGGTATTGGGGGTTGGGGGGAAGAAATTTGGCCTTCAATTCGCCAAGTGAACGTAAGTTGTAACGGTCACCGTTCAGTTATAAGCCACTTACAAGTCCCCCGTGAATGTGGGGTTAACAACTTGTTATGAATGGGGGAACACCCCAAATGGCGATCACCACTTACGAACTTGACCGAACATCCAAGCAGGTACCCCCAGCAACCACCAGGAACCCAATGAAACAGAACCCATCCAGCAATCACCCCAGAATCTGGACCCCTTTTGGGTGGGTTTTAAAAGGAAACTAGACACCTGGAAGGTCCCTCATTTTGAGACACACCCAAATCCCTAACCCACCAATCCAAACCACTCAAGGGTTACCTGAAGAAAAAATGGAACCAAAACAAAACATCAATTGTGGAGGGATCTCCTTTGGGCCCCCTCCTCTTTTAGGCTCCTTGAAAACTAGTTTGCAGGGATTGGAAGCCTTTTGTACAGTGGCTTGCGTCCCAAAGGATTCGGAAGCCATGGCAAAGTGCCCTCATGGCACTGGTTAACCCGTTCGAACCCACACAAGCGCGGTCC